GTGAGTTGACATATTCAAATAAATATTTGTTCAGACCATATAGAACAAATATTTATTTGAGTTCACTCCAATTTTATTTGAGTCAAATGATCTTTTTTATCAGTTTAGATTACGGATATATAAAGGCCAGTAATGGTTAGGTAGTAGTTTTTAGTTTAATCCTGTGATGCAGAATAGTGGGGACACTTGTGTAGTGTGGACACTAAGTGAACACTGGGACAATTAGTCAGTGCAAGCAGTGATAATCACAAATTCGTATGTTCTCCATTCGTAGGTCGATCGAATGTACGCCACTGGTATTTTCCTGTTTCTGACTATCCCCCCTCAACCTTTCCATGTTAGTATGAATTCAATCCTATGTACAGTTTTTGAATAATCATACAGTTTTGTATATTTTCTTTTGGTTCTCCATTCGTAGGTCGATCGAGTGTACGCCACTGGTATTTTCCTGTTTCTGCCTACCTTCTCAACCTTTCCATGTTAGTATGAATTCAATCCTATGTACAATTTTTGAATAATCATACAGTTTTGTATATTTTCGTATGGTTCTCCATTCGTAGGTCGATCGAGTGCTTAACCGATCGGGTAAATTACCCCGGAAGTGACTGTATACCCGATTTTGACTGTGATAGTGAATTTTCAAGTGAGTTCTAGAAAAATCTATTTGGAAACCAAGGAAGATATCGAATGGCTGACTTCACCGACGTGTTTGCTATATCAATCGATCATTCTATTCGAGAATCCAAGTTATCCAATTTGTAACTTCACCGAAGTCTTTGGGATTTTAATCAAAAACCAGGAAAGATATTTGAAGAGATTTTGAGGAAAATTCCAGAACATTCTGTACATGCCTGTTGAGAGACAACAAGCAAAAATGGAAGAACAAAAAATTGAAGAACTTCTGCGCAAAATGTTGGAACTTCAAGAGACCAAACGAGAACAAGAAAAACAAGACGCAGAAACTGCACGACAACAAGAAAAACAAGACGAAGAGGCCAGGCGACAAAAATAAAAACAAGAAGAAGAAGCTAGACGACAACAAGAAGAGGCTAGGCGACAACAAGAACGGCAAGAAGACATTGGACAAATGCAGAAAATATTTCAAACCATACAAGCATCTGTCGCTAACCTGGAACAAAAGATTGAGGAAGTTAAAGCCGAAGTTAAAAAAGATGTTCAAGAAGTTAAAAATGATGGTCAGCAATTAATACAAGAAGTTGAGGACCAAGTTCAAGCACTTGAAGAAAAGGTGAATAAATTAGAAATACAATACATTCCATCAATCTAGGTAGTGTTGGAGCATCATTCTCTGGTATGAAGATAAAACCACCAACTTTTGACAATTCTACGTCCTGGATCATGTATATCCGACAATTTAAAGCTGCTGCAATTACCAACGGGTGGAACGATCAAGAAAAAGCTACAGCACTGATAGTGGCGCTGCGAGGACCTGCCTTAGACTTTCTTCAGTCCATTCCTTCAATCTACCAACAGAATTACCAGCATCTAAGTCAGACGTTAGAATTGCGCTTCGGAGACAATTACAGGCAAGAAGTATTTAGAACTCAAGTTAAATCAAGAATTGATTAACCCGGCGAGAGTTAACAAGAATTCGAATCGGAAGTTAAAAGGCAAGTGAGTTTGGCCTTTCCTGCAGCTGGGGAAGACATGAAGGAATAACAAATGTCAATATGAGCTAAGGCCGGGACCGCACTGGCGACAACATTGGCCCCAATGCGGTTCAGGCCTTAGCCTATGTTGACATTAATTTGTTAGTGACGTAAAATATGTGAACCTGTCAATATTTTGACAGATAAACGCCAGTAGCACCAGTATTTCGTATACTCCACACACAAAAAGTAGCCAAAAAGTTCATCTTTCAACGATCATATCTCAAAGACCGTAATACCTACAAGATTTCGCCCCATTTATAGGTTGTTAAGAATTAAATACTCTACAACATATCAAAATTTGAAAAAAATCAACCGCTCATATAAGGTGTGCAAGGTCCTTTGGTAATAATGAATTTGTCCTAGGTACACAAGAAAAATCTCAAGCCGTTAAGATCCTAGCCACAAAACCGGTGTGGATTCCTGGAAGTACTGAGAAGATCATTTGCGGAAAGTTGGAAACAAACCCTGGGTGCTGCGTTAGACTAACACATCATTTTGTTGGAGATAAACCATAAAAATTTCTCATTGGAAAGACTCTAGTAAGAACAAATGGAGACATTGTGATAAGAATTGCCAATGTTTCTCCTGAAATAGTAAAAATAAAGGAAGGAGATATTATTGGAACTCTCGAATCAGTTAAGCAAATATCGAACTGTGACCTATCAGATAAGCGACATTTGGTGAAACCGGAATTGGATATAGGCACCTGGATGCAGACTTTGGCGAAATCATGAAAACACCTCGATCCAGATAGACTTCAAGAAGGACAGCTTCCCTCCTCCAAGGATAGACGATACATTAACAAATCTATCGGGCTCCAAAGAAAGGGAAGGGAACTCAGACTACCTTGCGATCTGATGTTTGGAATACCTGAAGAAGAACGAGAAGAAATTCTAGATTATGCCGACGAAGTAAGGGCACGACTTCTGGGGATACATGATTTAGCTCGGAAGCATTTTCAGCTGGCCAGTGACCGAATGAAGACCAGATACGACTTGAAAGCCAATTCAGCCGGATTTCAAGAAGCTGATTTAGTGTGGCTGTATAGTCCAGCAAGAAAGAAAGGAGTGTCGACGAAATTGTCTTCAGCATGGGAAGGACCCTACTGAAAAATCAAGAGGATTAATGATTTGGTTTATCGAGTCTGGCGCAGCAACAGGAGTAAGATGAAAGTTGTACATTTGGAGAGACTGACGAAATATCATGGGCGCGAAGTTTATCGGGAGGATCAACCTTAAGAGGAGGGCAGTGTTGCGAAAATCTGGCGGAAGCGCCACGGTGTACAGAATAGAGTACCTAATAGATATCTTCGTGTCTAAAAATTACATTATGTTGGTACTTAAAATTACAATTTTCAGTGAAATAATTACATTTTATGCTAAAAATGAGACCATGCCTGACAAATATTAAGGGGTATAAAATTTACTAAAAATTAATTTAAAATTAAAATTTTAGGTAAAAGATAAATAACATTTTGATGAAGTTTTACCTGGTAGTAGGTAATAGGTATGTTCTCACAGAAATCACAATAAACCTATCAGAGCGAATTTCATTGCAAACAGTCAGAGAACTGATTGTTGGCAATCAAAAACTGATTTATGATTTCTGTGAGAACAGGCCTATTGTCTTTCAGCCGAGGTTTTAAAAGAAATACATGATTCAGTAAATATTAATAACATATTTGCATAAAATATGACAAGAATTCATGACATTTCAGAATTCCTGTATGATTTTCTAACCTTTTTTGTTTCGAATTTTTTTAGTTACAAATATGCATGGTTATCAATTAAATAACTTAAAAAATTGGCTCCTACTATTCTTTCCCCTAAAATTTTGACTTAAAATTTATATTCAATTTTGAGATGGAGTTTTGTACCTACGTAATTTTTTCTGTACCTAGGTACAAATACTGTAGATTTATATATAAACAAAAAGGTTTTTCACTGATTTTTGAAATATTTCAATAATTTCGAATTTCGATGCTTTCTCATTTATTTTGACATCAAATACGTGCTATATTGTAAAAAACACATGACAACTACTACAGATTGCAGAAATATCAATTGCTATCTAACCAATCACCCTCATAAGGAGACGTTCTTGATTTGATATGAATGTATCACGTATTATTGTATTTTATTATTAGTATGAAGAGTTCTTTAACATCTCCGCATGTTACCTATTATTGTTACCAACTTTTTTGAGCAAAAGGCGGAATAAACTATTCACCTTTCTCTGTCTATTTGATATTATCAATCCTCAACCCCCCATCCTCACATGACAACCTAGGCAGAGTTTACACTTAGGTCAAGTAGCATGTTTCTGGAAGTTCAGAAGCTTCAGTATTCCTGAAAAACGCAATTCAAGTTAGATTCATACATACCTATTTTTTTATTGAAATGCATCGTCAATCATGTAACAGAAAATATACTTTGGAATCGAGACCAAAAGTTGAGCACACAGCTTACTTAAGCCAAATTTATGTATCTATTCTTGATGATTGTCTAGAACGGTGCATGACTGAAATTAGCCGAAAAGATGATGATGATAATCAACAGGAAAAACCCATGATCTAGAGCTGGTGATCGGATGTGAATCCAACTCACACCACATTAACTTGGAGAGTCGGGATGCTAATTCAAGAGGTAAGTTTTTGTATAATTTAATAATAGGTACCTCATCAGATTGTAATAACGGTAGGTACCATAAAGCAACTTCCTTAAACTCTCGTAGTCAAACTGTAATTGATATATAACACTATGCTCTGTAGTTATATCAATTTCAATCCCTAATGGCGCATATCTATCCGATGAAATTTCTCAGTCGGATCACCGCTGTCTTATTGAACTGCTTCCCTGAAAACCCAAGATCTTATCGTGACCACAAAAAGACTAATAAAGCACTTCATGTGCAAGGCCTGTAAAGGGCATTACGAGAGGTTGAAGTTAAGACAAAGATAATTGAAGTGGTGTTCCAATACCATCTAAGGTGCCATCATAAATTCCTATTAAATGTCGAGCCCACTGAGGATGTTTTAAGACTCTGGCAACACTTCTGCGTGGGTGTGCCAGGAACTTGGAATACCTCAGGGCGACGACAAAAAAAAGTGTTTAACAAAGCAAAAAACAACAAAGTACCTAAGAACTGCAACCATTATAGGTGCCAACCTGCAACGAAATAGAAAACTATACTGAAGCGGTAAGACTTCAAGATGCTCTAAATAAAGAGATCAGAAAATCGTAAGAAAAGCAATACTATGCTGCGTTTCAAACAAAGTAAGTGAGGATTCCAAAAAGTCAAACTTCTGTTCATTTTATTCTTAATATAATTTAATATAAAATTTATTACAAAAATCAACACTTCTAAAGATATTAAGACTCTAACCTTTATGCTTCATGCAACTTAAACTTTGTTTTTGTATTTGTCAACACATCATATTAACAAAATTAATATAAACTTTTTATAAAAATACAATATGTATGAAAGAACGCTCTATATATCTTGACAAAATCATCTGGGCGACTCCAAGTTCTAAGGTATGCGTTGTAATAATTCTATTTAAATCTATCACTCTTAAGCTAATTTATTGAATATTGTTAACACAGATTTTTTTTTTAAAGATTTTTTCCATTATAATAGCGCTCAAATATATCTCTACTAAATTTTCAACATTCTCTTAATAATTGGTTTCAATATGAATCGAGGCAGTACCTATTATTAATATACGATTGCAAGTATTTTCAAGAATACCGCTATGAAATTGAAGTAATTTCCTATTGGCTTGGAGTTCACACTATTTACGCTTTCCTATCAAAATTTTAACAAAAACAAATTGTGGTATTTCCAGAACAAACCCAGCAATCAACATTTTTTAAATGAAGATAAAAAATTACTCGTTTTTTAATGGTATCAGCGTATCAGGTATCACGAACCTACAAAACACATAATATAATTATTATTAAGTTGCCTTTTGAATACCAAAAAGAACCTGAACTGTGAAGCAACAGGTCTCGATGACATTCCAATGAAAAATTTGAGAATCTTTCGGAAAATATAGAATCAAGAACCTGCAATAACTGCGCTGGGTTGTTAGATTTGTGAGTTAGCTTTTGACAGAATGTTTATACATGAACATTTTTTGAGCTAAAAATTGAATTGAGAATGAGGTTGGTCGTCTGCTATGTCTATCGGAGAAAGATAAAGACATAGTTAACACTGAGTATATGATTCGAAAGTTTCCATAATTTCGTCATGTTATGAGACATGCCACACTTAAAAACTGGAACAGTTTTGTAGCTAATTTAAAAAGATGCCGATGAGTAACTTCAAAATGCCCTACAACTGAAAGCAAAATTATGTGGAAGTTTTCCTTTTCAGTTTCTCAACTTCTATATCATCGTCCAAATGATTTTGTTTGAGCTGGTTTCAACTGCTAACCGTTGCTTTTTATTCTTGATTTATTTATTGGTTGTATATTGCACTGCCTTTTCCAGGCCTAAAAATTTTAAAATAGAAAACTTTCATTTTTGCGTTTGAAGACTTAATTGGTAGAAAGATATGAAAATAACAAACACATGAAATGTAAAGGATTCATGTGGTAGATGTGAAGTTGGGAAAAATCATGGGGCGGATAAATATGTGAAAACCTAAACTGATTTTTATTTATTTTTTCGAAAATTATCTCAGAGACTCTTTCTGGGGTTGCGCTGGTAGCCTTTTAGGTATTTATGTGATTTATCAAAGTTTGGCTTTAAAAAAGTTTCAGCATAATCTTGTTCTGATCTTTTAGCTCGATTAAATAACCATATGACAAAAAGCAAAGTTAGTCGAGAAAATCAATTGTATGAGTTCTGATTTTGTGTTTCGCTCTACCTAATTGACCATACCATATTTTTGTTTCCATTTAAAAAAGTAGGATCATTAGATTCAATTAGAAAAAAAGACAAAATATCTAGACTATCTTTGGTTAGGAAAACGCAGGCTGAAGGCCCATACTTATCGACCCATCACTATAATCTGGCCTTAATGGTATACGAGGAGGTCTGCGCGATCTCATATTACGCCTTCTGGCTGGCGTACATGTACAGTCACAATGCATCACGCATAATGCTACTGATGTTGCTAATGTCACCACAAAAGGTATTGCAAAGTAATGGATAATTATTGCGATCTGAAATTATATCGTTAATTGTTTTTATTTTTTGTTGAAAGTAAGTAGGGTACCTGTTCATCCTTAACATAATGCGTCAGCACTACCGTACCATTTTCCTTAGAAGGATAGCAAGGAAACTCACTACCTTCTTCACCAAAAGTTTCAGTGAAATTGGCGCATCGTATTTTTGGCGGATACCCACAGCCCTTGATGTTTACTAGTAGTACCGCTTCATCGGTATTATTAAGGCCAGGTATAGTTGCGTTGTAACTGACGTAGATATGGGTACAATGATACGCGTCACTCGTACATCCTTCTCGACAGGAACTCCATGAACAATTTGCCAAACCTATAGACATAAAACGTTAGAAATGTCGTAATAGTATACCTATACTTACAAGCACAGATTAATGCACACCAGAAGGTGTCTAGATGTATTTATCTTTAACCCGGGAGATGGAACACAGTTTTTTTTTGTTGAAATGTTTGGAAACGGTCTCGTATTCCAAAATAGGCTTTAGAAAAATGTACAATATTTCCTACCTGGGCCTACCAGCCCCCCTATAAATCTTGAATACGCATTATCACATTTTTCTAAAGCATGTTCTGAATCACGAAATCGTTTGCATACATTTAAAAAAAAAAGCTGTGTTTCAGTGGAGGTTTGGCATTTATGGGTTTTAGCAATGTTGGGACAATTAATTACAATAAAAATAAATGAAAGTCTCCATTTAAAAATATTAATAGGTAAATTCTCTGGACATCTGTAAGCAATTCCATAAATTTCTATAAGCCTATAGCTGCCTAAAGACAATTTGTAATTTTGCACTTCCTGTAGATTACAGAATATATTATAGGATCGTAAATATTTCCAATGGAGTGTTTGGCAATCGATGCGTTTTGCAGTGTCTATAGGCTTATGGAAATTTATAGATTTGCTTACAAATTTGCACAGAATTGACCAGTTACATACGGCATCTTAGAAACGGTAAGCTTGGCAACATTTCAAGACTATGTACCAAGTATGTGTTGTTTCTAGTACACTTGTTCTGCATTTTTCCGTATATTCACGAAATCGTTTTTTGATGACTCGAGGTATATAGTCTTCACTATTGTCCAAATCGGTTTCAAGAATCAAGCGCAACCCATCTTTAGATTACTGTGTGATGTCGCATTGTGGATTAATCTGAGTTCCTCAGGCCTATTCTCTACGAACAGCAATTACATAGCAACTAGCAACCGGGTCGCTGTTGCTTTTTTAAAATAGAAAACTCTGCGGTTGCAAGTTATAGAGTAAGCTGGTAACAGGTCTTCAAAAAAAAACGTAAATCATGGCTATGATTTTTTGAACGTCTATGTCTTAGCGATATTTTCCCTTCATTTATCAATGTAATGGTAAAGTTGGATTAGACGCTCGGAGCTGCTGTATAGTTTTGATGAGAAGAATCATCAAAAGGAATAAAGATGAAAAATGGTCCAAGCGCTCAGTATTTCTGGCATATCGATTTGTCATTAGACTGATATGTCAAACAAAAACAAATAAAACACAAATGAAGCTCTTAGAAGAACGTTTAATACCAGTTAATATGGATAAAAACGCAAATATTTTCTTAAAATTCTGTAAAAAGTTGAATTAATTTGTTGTTGTAACAGAAAAATTGAAGTTTTTGGATTCTTATTTGTCACTTTGACATTTATTTATGGAAACCGACGCGACGCACGCGAAATCCACATATGAATAGTTCAATAAATTTCTTAAATATAAATGACTATTCTAAAATGCAATTGAAGGTTTCCAAAATACTGTTGAATTTTTACCTGAAAGTTGATCAACTCTCGTAGTTATGCAAGTGACAGGTTCAGTAACAAAGTCACTAGCCAGTGTAGAGATGGCAGGGTCGACGTACAGTGGTACCAAGAAAAGAAGTGACGAGCCTGCGGCCATGGCCAGCACGGCTAGCAGGCTTGTGGCATAGAATAAGGCTTGTTCGCGACAACTTCTAGATCCTTGTTGTCGCGTCTGAGCTTTTTTCGCTGCGGCCAACTCCTAAAATAAAAAATAAAAATTTATATCATTAATCAATGAATAAAGAAGGAAGGAAATAAATTATTGTCATGCATGGAATTGAAAAGTGTCGCAGCAGTCGTACATATTAGAAAACCCAATATGATTTCATTGGTGGCGTTCCAACGTGGGTGATAAGTACCGCAACCTTTACCAAATGCAACGTTAATTTACGTACCCGAATATTTGAACGTAAAAAGTTAGAAATGGCGGTTATGATCAATTTCAGTATTTTTATTTCCACTTCGCGAGAGTCAACTCTCTGCTTCCGAACCGTATAAATGACTTTCCTGGAATTGAATTAGTCATAAAACTTATATACATATCTAATATTACATAGCAAACTGGTAGTGCAGTGTATCTCTAAATCATGCTTTCCGTTATAACTTTCTCATTAGCAAACAACTATTTAATTCCAACATGTAACTTCAATTCTAAATTGTTCTGCGTGTAACTAATTGGTAGAGTTTGGGCCCAATTACAATTCATTTCAAAATATCATTTCTATAGCTATTTAAAATTCCGAAATGCTTAAGAGATCAATTTTTTTATCTAATGAAAATGGAAAGTAAGTGACTAATGATATTTTTCCAACTAACAAATGAATAAGTCAATGTTTGATGCTACACTCTGGTAAATTTCAAAAACAGCACATGTTTTCCGATTTTTTTTTGCGTGCCTAACCTCATTATTTCTTAACCCTGGAAAATAGGCAAACAGATATACACTTAAAACTAAAATATTCGGATTGTAAATAATCGATCAAAGAGCCATTTTCTGATGTGAGGTTTTTTTTCTCTTTGTAGACTAATTTGAAAAAATGAACCAATCAGAGCACAGAACTAACGGATTTGAAATCTAAAGTTCTGTCATTAACGCCCCCCAAACCGATATTTTTTTTTGTTTCCTTGAATCATGTGACAGCATTCACGAACACATAAATACTGTATAAAGGTATGAACGTAGTTCTAGAGTAGGGAGGTGTAAAATTTGTCACCATAGAATTTGGGTATTGTTGAAAAAATTGCTAATGATCCGTTTATTACGAGTGATAAGTTTTAAAATAAAGTAATAAGCTCACCATTGAAATACACTTTTTTTTTTAAATCAATAAGCAAATACGCTTTTCACACTGCAATGTGAAAAAACAAATTAGTAATGAAAAACGACAGTTATATTACGAGAAACTAACTTGAGAGCACTGGAGCAGTCTGACAGCCATTAAAGAAATTAATATACGGGCACAAAATTCTTGGAAATTTCAAGAGGAAGGCTCATCGCGCAAGATTAAAAATGTCCTGAAAATCGCCGACATCTGATCTTGATAGTTTCATTAACTTCTTTTCTTTCCGAAAACGACTTGTCAGGAAAAAGGTTTCCTTTTGCTCTAGACCTAGCCAAGTAACATTTAATGCTGTATACCTACATCTACTAAATAATTTCAGATCAGTTTAAGTATTTATGAGAAAACAGGGTCCAACCTTCCTCAATGGATTCAAATGTAAATAATGTGGAAGTGTTTGGAAATTATTAATAATGCAAATTTGGGAGGTAAGCACGCACAATAAACGTGGAACTTGTTGTTACCCAGGTAATATTTGTTTCAAAACATAATCCAAAAATAAATACATATGTAAGAGAACGATAACTGCAGAAACTGGGAATTATGGGGTTAATTATCAAACAATCAAAAAATAGAGTCGGTAACGCTATATGAAGAATGGAACCTTGAAAGAAAGTTAGAATTTGAATTTGATCAATAGGTACACGATTTGGAAGGTAGGTATTTCATAGTATTTTACACCAAGACAACTATGGATTTGGACTTCATTCGAAAAAATACTTAAAGGTATGTATCGTTTCTGTAGAAATAACTAAGTTTGCCAGGCCAGGTATCTGCTCGCATTATTAATTTGAGTTATCATCATTTATATGGGTTTTCCCATAAGCAGAGACTCACATTTTATGAAGATCATCATGTTTTTTTTCTCCATTCTTCATGCAATAGCGCTTAACAGAATGTTTTCCACAAGCCGTTGTCGCCTATCAGTTGGCGTTGTCAACCGTATTTTGTTCATCCCAATTAATTTCCTAGATTCTGCCCTAAAAGATAAATTACAGGTAACAGCCCCTGCCCAGGGGGATTATGCTCAAGAGACAAGACTCAATGTGGAAATTTCAGAGGAATATCTTTACTTTCTGTTGCGGGAAAGATACTTGCTCGATATTATCAAATCGTCTAATTCCAACTGCCAAAGAGAACCTCCCAGAGACACAGTGTTGCTTTAGACCCAACCAAGGTATAGCTGACATGATTTTCAAAGCAAGACAAATGCAAGAAAAATCCAGAGAAGCAACTCGCCCTCTGTACATATACTTCATAGATTTAGTGAAATAATTTGATTCGGTAAACAGAGAAGCTCTTTAGAAGATAGTGGCAAAGGTTGGGTGTCCGCAAAAGTACATCCAGATGCTCCGCCTGCTGCATGATTAGCATGATAATAGGAATGCAACCGTCCTAAGCAATGATGGACAAGGAGAATCTTCACCGAGGAAGATCTTCAAGCAATTATCAATACATTCAAGCAGGCATACAGGAGAATTGGCCCAGAGGTCAACTTTAACAAGACGCAGATTCTGCACCAATCCGCACCGGATACTAATCCTCAAGCCGCAAATATAACTATAAATGTCCATTGACTCTGAAATCCAACGTCGCTTGAAGTGTGCTAGCGCGGCGTTCGGGCGACTTTTAGAGAGAGTCTTCATTAATCATGACATCAGCGCTGAGACGAAAACAGGGCTGGGAACAAAAACTGTGGGACAATGTGTAGCTCTAGAATTGAAACGCACAATCGACGACAATAAGAATAGAATAGAAGATAATCATACTCGGTATCGAGTGCTCGCCTATGATAATTATGATAAGCTAGATACACTTTTCATCTTTGGGAACATTATGTTTAGAATGTGTTGAGTAACTCCATTTTATAATACCACCAAGAGGATGAGGATGAAAAACGAAAAAAAAAATGAGCCCAAATAATAAAAGTATAAATTATCATATTTACCTACCTACCTATTATATAACTGATTTGTTTATGAAATATTCTTCAAAATCCTATAATTCCTTGCCGGTAAATATAAGATTGGATAACAATAATTATAATATGTTAGAGAAATGAGAAATGATTAGAGAAATTGTTATGTTATGGATAAAATATTGTATTAAAATGAATAAAGAATGTTTAAAAAAAAAAATTTACCACTGCCGAAAAAACTACTCACCTACCTATTTTGTACTAAATTCCCATCAAGCTCGACCCAATACCTACATCGCTCTAATTAACATTTTGTTTCATTGTGGTAGGTTTTGCGTGCATTAAATATACTCATACGATTTTATAAATTCTATTATATTGCATTAAACATAAAATGAATAACTATTTTGACGTCATTGCATAGGGCTTTATGACTGACCTATACGTTTTCTCAAAATCAGTTTCATAAATCACTTAATATGTACAACCAATTAATTAGTGTACCTACTTATTATGTTTTTAGCTTAATTTTTTAAAAAAATGGATGACAAATTACTCAAAAGCCCTTGACACATAAACCTCAAAATGCTTTCTTTGAAACCTCAATCAATTAGACATTTTTGCCGAAAAAATTTATTAAGGGATGATAACGGGCTGCATTATAAAATTTTATTGAAAAAAAATCACCTATTAAATATTGATAATGTGAATTTAAAAAACAATACTTAGTTCTAGCAATGCGACACTGTATATTACATTACCCCGCTCTGCCCAGATCCCGCATTTGATAAACTCGAAACAGCTGATGCCTCATTTTATTTTATCGACTTACCTTGATCTTGCGTTTTCGTAGCTCCTCTTGTTGATCAAGGAGCAATTCAGAGCTGGAGCTCCTCATTGTTGATGAGCTAAGACATTTGGGCTCTATGAAATAACAGGGTATGTTTTTTTTACCACACTTTTTGACCCGGTTTCTCCATGATGAAAACTCAATGAGGCCAGGCCGCCCTCGACAATGCGCTAAGAATCCCTGGAAAGGGTGGGTTGCGATGTTGCCAAGAATAATTGGAAAATCTGGAAAACTGGATTCAGCTTTCCATTCTAACAGCACACTTATGGATCGAATTAGTAGATTATTTCTATATTATGTACTATAATGAGCTATTAAATAAAATTTTAGTTGGTATTTTTTCCTAGAATTATAATCTTCAAGTAAGGACGAAATGTATTTTAAGTGGAAAAAACTTCTATTCGGCAACAAATTACTGGGGCGCGGGCGCAAAAGATTTAATGGATCTTTGATCGCATTGTAATAAATTCTAATGGTGCCTGAAACCTTAAAGCCCAACTTCAAAAGTGTGTGTGAATAATTAAGTAAAAATTCGATGTGAATCTAGTTAAACAGCTATCTTTTAATTAAATGTTTTTAATTTTCTCATTTAATTATACCCAATTGTTTATAAATATTATATTTTTATATTCCAGCTTATCCGATTTGAACATAATTTAATAATATTATGCAAAAAATACCTAACTTACCTAATAATAGGGAATATTAAAAAAAAGTGACGCATACAACGTCGTTGAAATTAGCAACAGATTCAGAAAAGAGAATCATGTTCTAACAGATGACCAGAAAAGTAAGGTCACAAATTAAATAAATTTAGAAAGCTACATATTCTGGAAAATTCTGTAACATCATCGAACATTGTAAAAATATTATTGGGGGTATGATCTACGTCACATACTGAAAAGTCACTCGTTCAGAGCGGGGTTGACGGGGATAGATTGCGTCCCAAAAATTTAAATGAAATCAAATATCAAAAATTTTGTAACACCACCAAACTTGTTGACCTATCAAAAATGCACATGTCTACGATAGATAATATACCTAAATTTGATTTACGATTTTTTTTTAATGTAAGCGTTAATTATGAATGCATTTGCCGTAAGCCTGGTAAAATACTTTTCAGGTTTTGATTTCAGAGAACTGACGTCAATTGTACCATATTTCAAATACGACATGGCTGATGTATTTATGATATAATCCTACGCCATTTTTACTATTGTAGATTACGTCTTTTTCGAGTCATTAAATCACGTATTTTTACGTTACGTCTGTGACATAATCGTGGTGACCCATCGTCAAATAGACCTCATTTGAAAGGTAAAAATAACGTCTAATCTCACAAGAAAATACGAGAAAAAGTCGACAAATTGACGTTAGCTTGCTACTTGGATGGTTACCGTTCTGCTTAACCTCATCACCGACCAACCACACCGCGACAAACGACATTGAAGACGTCTGCTTACGTCTTCAAGGCGTCTTAAAGACATCACAAAGACGTCGTATGTTACAAAACTAGACGTCTTTCAGACGTCTTCAGGACTAATATTTCATTATTATATTGCTCATTTTATAGCTTTTTGTTTATTCCAAACGCTAGGCGCTAAAATTCCTGATTTCTTTTAAACGAAAACATACACAAATTTCATTTTGGAAGAAAAACATTGGAAGAACCAGCAGTAAAGATTAAAAAACAAATCAACAGCCTGAAGTTCTAAAATACGGGTAGAATGAAAATTCAAGACCCAAAAGAAAATTAAGAATTTACAATAAAGAAATAAGGAAAAATCCAAGAATCTGGAATATATAAAAAATCAAGAATTTGAATTGAAAGAGAAACATTTTCTTGCTAATAGTTCCTTATTATCACTCATTTTATAACACTCAATTTTTGTCTTTTCCAGGCGCTCTGAAATTTTTAAATTGTTCTGAAGCCTTTCAAAATGCTGCTGATAAGTGTTTTGGAACGTTCTAAATAGCTTACTGAAGTTCTGAAGTGTTCTAACTTGGCTTGAGAGTTCTGGAGCATTCTTGAAGTTTTTCAGCAATTTCTGAATTGTTCTGACAGATTTTTAAGTATTTTAGAGCTCTATTGAAGCTCCAAAGTGTTCGAAAATGGTTCAAAAAAGTTCTAAAAGGTTTCCAGTTCTAAATTGAATCATAATCCATATCATCCTGCATTGTTATTTTCATTAAATATCAAAGAGGGGATAGATGAAGGTAGTATACCTAAAACTTATTCGTATGACTTTCCAAGAGGTAATTTTCTATTATTATATGAGTGGATCAAAAATATTGATTGGTCAGATTTGCTAACATGTCTTAATGCCAGTACTAGCCTTGATTTGTTTTATGAGAGATTGTATGATTGTATGGATAGAGCTATACCAAAGTATGTGGTCAGGAAGACAGTCAGTAAACCAAAGTTTCCTATATGGTACTCCAGTGATTTGGTGCGCAAAATTAGACTGAAGCATAGAATGCACAATTTAATACAAAAAAATAAAACCAATATTTATGTAATGTCAAGTTACAAAGATTTAAGAAAGCAAATTAAAAGCCAAACAACAGTGGAATATAACCAGTACAGTCACTGGAGTTTTGTTAAAAGCAAATCAAGTCCTGGTGGAGTGCCTGGAAATATGATATATGATGGTAACCTTAACTCAAATGCCCATGATATAGCTAATGCCTTTGCTCATTATTTTAAATCCGTTTTTGAAGGACAGGATTCTAGTCAATTTTTCCAACAAGGCTGTGATAATTTATTTAGTTTGTTTAATTTCTCTAGTATATCTGAGAAAGAAGTGTACGACAGTATAAAGCAATTGAAACCAAAGAAAAGGACTGGAACTGATAACATTCCGGCATATATTTATAAGGGTATGGTTGATTATTTTAAAAAATCCCAGCCATATTCAAAAAAGCTTTAGTGTTGCTAGTATTCAAAACTGGGCTGACCAATGATGTCAGAAACTATCGCCCCATTAGTCTCATTAATGTGGCTGCAAACATTTTCGAAAAGATCTTATTCAACCAATTATATAATCATGTAAGTCATCAAATAGCTAAACAGCAGCATGAATTTTTACCTGACATATCGACTGTCACAAACTTATTATTATTTTCTGAATGTACAGCAAAGGCGTTTGATGATAAAGCCCAACTGGATGTAGTCTATACTGACTGCGGGAAGGCGTTTGATAAGGTAAGCCATTCAATTCTTCTGCGCAGACTGGTTGATTGTGGTCTATCGGGAGATGCATGTCTTCTTATGAAATCATATCTAGATGACCGTGAATAAAGAGTGAAAATTGGTAAGTGTGTCTCTGACCCTTACATAGCCACATCCGGAGTACCACAGGGTAGCAATTTAGGACCCTTATTGTTCCTAATATTTTTCAACACGCTGCTAGATGTGGTCAGACACTCAAATTGCCTTATGTTTGCAGATGATTTTAAACTCTTTAAGATTATTTACACTCCTAAAGATCACCAGCAACTAAAGTCTGATTTGAGGAGAGTGATTGGTTTCAATTGAATAAAATGTCGTTGAATAGCAAAAAAATGTACAGCAGTTACCTTTACAAGAAAGATTGATGTGTCTATTGTTAACTATTATAGGCGTAGAAAAAATTAGTCGTAGTAATGAAAGTTAGGGACCTGGGAGTGTATTTTCAGACTAACATGAAGTTCAATACCCATTTCAACCATATTGTAAGAAAGGCCTTTAGGTCATTGGGGTTTGTAATCAGAAATAGTGGAAATTTCCAGATAAGCGTAATTGTCAGGTTCGATAATGCTCTGGTGAGGCCACATTTGGAGTATGCATTACAAATATGGATGCCATCAACAGCAACTCATATTAATCAAATTGAAAAAGTTCAGAAAAGGTTCTTGCGTTACTTATATGTAAGAAAGACTAATGCATACCCTTATATGGTCTCATACAGGTCTACGCTAGATAGCTTTAAACTTGTTAGATTGGAAGACAGAATAAGAAACATACAAGCTGATGTGATGTTTGTATTCTGTATTGTTAAGAACATCAAATACAAAAACTGTATGTTAATTATAACTTCATAAACTTAAATGTTCCTAAGATTTATTTAAGGCAATTGAATCGTAAACTGTTCGCAATGAATTATGGTAGAGTATCGCCTTTTAATAACATGCTCCAGATATGTAACAGTATTGTTGAAACCATAGATTTTGATATTTTAGGTGTCTCGGAGGTACAGTTGAGGCTGGTGCTGTCGTAGTTTGTTGTTGTAGCTGTAAGTAATTTTTCTCTGTTTTTAATTATGTTAATATGTAAATTGTAGATTGTATTACATACTTAGTATTTATTACCTTCACATGTAATTAGATACCATTTATTGGTGTTTGTAAAGAGAAACAATAAAATAAAAAAAAAATTTTTTATTTTTTTATTGTTCCAAAATAACTCTGACACTCTGAAGTTTCTCAATTGTTCCAAAATGCTCCTGAAGATTCTGATTTGGATTTGGACTGTTCTGGGTGCTTATTAAAGTTCTAAAGTTCTACCATAATTCGCTCTAAAAAGCTTCCTGAAAGGCGTTTTGTAACTTTTAACCTGAATCCTAAGATTCTGACGCTTTCCAAAATGTTTCTGGAGATTTTAAAATGCTTGAGTGTTTTGGATCATCCTAAATTAAATGGGTTTCAAACTTCTGAATTGTTCTCAAATGCTCTTGGAAATTGTAAATCGGTGGATGTTGTGGGGCCTTCTAAAATGGTTCTGAAGTTTCTAAAATGTTCTGAAACGCTACAGAATGCTTTTGGAAATTCTGAATTGAATTTTAAATGTTTTAAACTTTTCAAAATGCTTATTAAATTTCTAAAATGTTTTGGAACATTCTAAATGGTTTCCAGTACCTAACTTTTAAATTGAATTAAAAAATGAAACGAATTATGTAGGAAATTTTTGTAGACATCTTGAAGACGTCCCTAAGATGTTCACAAACAACATTCAAGACGTCTTGATTACGTATTAAGGCATCTCAAAGACATCTCAAAGACCTATGCCTAAAGACGTCTCTACGACTAAGACATTCTAAAGACGTTTTCAACAAGATGTCTTAAAGACGTCTTTGAATCTCTTTTCAATACATAAACCATTATATACACTTTTAGTTGATTGTACCAAATAGCTGTTTTCAAGATGTGAATTTGCATCTTTTTGGAGATCTTCAAAACCACGTCTTCTAAGTATTTTTTTGATCTTAAGACGCTCACACATGATGCAGACCTAAAAAAGACCTCTTCAAGACTTTGTGTGCTGTCTGGGTAGGGTCAGACAGGAAGTGTCCTAACACTTTATACTCCAGATATCGACCAAATGATCAGAATATCAGAAAAATGGAGGGTTCCAATGAACCCTCTCTCTCTGACCATATAATTACAATGTTTGATGTTGAATGAGTGCAGGGACGAACAAACTTCGTATAGAAACCCCAGAAATACGCACTGGAAAAGATACACAATCAACCTGCAATGCAAACTTACACAAAACAACTTCAGGTACAAAAATACACGTGAAGAAGAGGAAAGCCTCCAGTGCCTTGACAGGGCAATCATGGAGGCATAAAAATCCAGCCAATGATGGAATAATTACGTCTGTCACGACTTAGATCCGAAGCATGTCGGTTTTTCAAGTCCAAACAAGACGAAAAGGCTACACCGAAAGGCTGACGTGAGTACAACAAAAAAATAAGAAAAGTCAAGCGGAAAAGCTTAAGAGACTTCTGTGAATCCATCATAGGAACTTCATCAGCAGCCCGGCTATACAAAACCCTGGAAAAAGGCAGGGCGCAAATAACATTTAAGAATTCAGACGGTAGTTACACAGAAAATGAATAGCAACTAGAAACTCAATTTCCAGGAAGAATACCCACCAATGGCACTGAACAAAACGAAATACGGCACAGGAAAAAAAGGCAAGAGAACTGAGAAGTTGCCAAGGACTTTGCACTCGTAAGCGGCTTAAATTACTTGGGCGATTAAGTCACCTGGACTTGACGGCACGTTTCTATCCTTGCTGCAGAAAGCACACAATGAGATGCCGTATCTGAATAACAGATACAGCTTAACGACTGGGTAGGCCAAGTAAATGGAAAAGAGATAAGGTAAATTTCAAGGAAAAGGGACGCCGGTTTCAGACCTATATGTTTTACGGCGTTTTTACTGGAGATAGCTGAGAAAGTTGTAGATAATAAGTACATCAGAACATGACGTTCTCTGGAAAAGACGCCACTTCATCCTTGACAATATGCGGTAATATCAATAGAAACCGTGAGCTCTTCGACACCATCCAGAACACACTGAAAAATAAAGAAGTAGGTAGCTATCTGTGCTTTTATAGAGGAGGCGGAGAGTATAGCTCTCATGAAGACTCGTGCTTTCTTGATAGACAAGAATGCACTCATCAAAAGAAAAAAGTGGAAAAAAACATCCCTACCTGGATTCGCAAAATGCTAGCCACGCGAATTGCAGAAACTCAAGTAGCGCAACTAGAGTAGTAGGTATATCCACAGGGAGGGGTACACTCACCTTGGATTTTGAGTGGTTGATATCGTTGTCACCTAGTTTGTATATGCCGATGATATTGTCGTTATGCCCATAGCAAATTTGAAGCAACCCTCCGCGACCTCATAGAAAAAGCACTTCAAACCACGAAGGAGTGGTGTCAGTCAGTGGGGTGGAATCTAAAATCAGCGAAAACCACACTGGTTACATTTACAAGAAGAACAAAACTCCCAAACCCCTAGGCAAATTGCCTTATGGATCTACCAGAAGATGTGATTGTTTCGAGGATAATTGAATTTTTGGAAAGAAACTAATCGAAGGTCGGGTTACTAAATTAAAAGAGAATTCTGGTTTGCACAGATTGTAATCCCAACATCTACGGTTAATTTTCCATTTATTAGGTATAACTTGCCAGAATTTCCCAAAAAAAAAAAATTTCAACTTTCACAGCTGAAATACAGTATATAGCGCCATCTCTCATCTCTATCGTAGCAAGAGAGCTAACAAAATTCGATATATTATTTCTGAGTGAAAAGGCAATATGATACACTGAGGAATATTCTTTGTAAAGAAGCATGGCGCAAGTCAAGTAAAAATAATTAAAAAATTTGAATTATATTTTATTTGAGATAATAACAATAATATGGGTACATAATGTTTCTATACAATACTGGCTTGTAAAAATTTATAATATATAAACCTTAAATAACGGTATTTAAAAATTTTATGCGATTAATTTTTAGGTGGGTCGGATAAAAAAATATTAAATGACTAGCATGGCACATACCTAGTTGCACCTGTTTGCTGAAGATTTTTCGAAAAAAAGACTTAAAGTTAAACAGATAAATAAGTATACATAGGTATATTATAAAAAATATAATAAAATACATATCACTAAAAAAAAAAAATATTATATATGTTATATAATTCGGAATATAAGGTTAATAATAATATATATGGTAACAATACCTACATTAACTTTTTTTTTTTTAAATATTTTTGTCGTCACTACCTGAAGATTTTCACATAGAAGTGAGATATTATAAAATAATGTTAAAAAGAAAAATTCAGTTACAATAGTACCAATTTTTTTTCCACCATATTATACGTTTTATTACAAGGAGTGTGAAGTCTGCATCAAAAATTTTAGCTCCAAAAATTTCCTGAACCAAGCTCCGCGCAACGTAGGTAAAGCTACGTTCACATTCAATTCCAATTCAAATTGCAATTGGAATTTATGCGGGAATTGGTTTCAGGTTATCTATAAAGTAAAAAGAAAAAAAAAAATGTTTTCCCACATTATTCCTATTATTATAGGTTGTTCCATTTCCAGTTTTTGCAAAGAATGGATTATCAAAATGCATTCAAAGCTCAAAGTATTTGTATTAGGAACCATAGGTGCTTCAAATTTGTAATTTCGAATTTTTTCTTGACCAAGTCAAGCTGCTTGCACGAATTTGAATCGCAAGTGAGCGTGATCTTGAAAATATTTTGCAAAATAAACGAAAGTACAGTTTTCCATATGGCAAGCCCAAAAATTTCACTTATCCTAATGAATAAAAAATTAGGCAATTACCTATTTGAAGCAATTCCTTTTTGGCAAAAGTAATTTCTTGACTAGCAAATGCCAGAAGCAATTGCTAGATCTTGGTATATCCAACAAGTGGATTTTCCCTAAATTTGGTACTCGTGCTCTCTACCCCTTACAGCTCCCTCCATGGAAGCGGCATCGATAATCAAATAATATGATCCAGAAAAAATTATGGATAAGATACTGGATAATTTTATTTTACCATCGATGCCGCTCTCACGGAGGGTGCTGTAAGGGGGAGTGAGCATGAGTACCAAATTTAGGGAAAATCCACTTGTTGGATCACTGTTTAAAAAATTATAATATAAATTGTTAATTTTTCACATCGCATCCATTTTTCCTGAATAATTTTAATTTTCTATCGATGTCGCTTCCATGGAGGGTGCTGTAAAGGGTAGTGTAAGATCCACATGTATACCAAATTTAGAAAAAATCCACTTGGCGGAACAGTGTTTAAGAAATTTTAATGTAAGATGTTGATATTTTACATCTCATCCATACTTCATGGCTAATTTTATTTGACCATCCATGCCGCTTTCATGTAGATAGGGTGCTGTCAGGGATAGTCTACATGTATATACCAATTTTAGGGAAAATCCACTTGTCGGAACACTGAAATTTTTGGAGCTAGAATTTTTGGCGTAGACTCCACACTACTGGTTTTACACTCTATTAGGTAGGCCATCTTCTAAAACAACTCATAGTTACCTCTAGAGCCAGAGGAGAAAAAATTATGCTTAGAACCTACTATAAAAGCTTGGCACAGCAAATTATTATCTAAGAAGCCGAATCAGTCAACTAGAATTGCTCCAGTAAGACGATTTGTTGAGTATTCCATAAGACAGAGTAATGCATAATGTAAACTAAACTGATTAATTAAATTTCGAGTTAGTTTATTTCAGTATCAATCAAGTAAGTTATCCTTATGTACAGGTTGGCCTGTTTATTTTGTCCTTTCTCGGTACATGGAAATCTAGATATTTTATGCTAAAATGTTTTATACAAAAGTTGTAGGGTTTAAATCATTAATTTGTTTTTTTGTATATTTCCCTTTGGTCAAAGTCCTACTTTAAAATATTTATTTTTGACGTCTAACGTTTCTACAATAATCTAAAAATTGGCCGTTCCTCGAAGATAACCATCAATAAATTCGAAAACTGTGCATAACAACCCTATTAAACTATATATATTTATATTTGCATTTGAAAGCGCTATCAAAAAATGTAAAAATATACAGGGTGTTCTATTTTAAAAAAAATTAAATCTGAGGTGTCACACTTTTTTAACACCCCCTGTGTAAGCGCAAATACAAAAAAACAAATTAATCATTTGAACCCTACAACTTTTGTATACAACTTTTTGTCATAAAATATATAGATTCCCATATACCGAGATAAGACAGAATAAAAGGGTCACCCTGTACCTACGCCAGCGTGAAAAAAAAAATCGCCATAATCTCTCAGTTTCATAAGGGCATGGGCATCGGTAATTACAGCCCAGCGTTGCTTCACTACCTACTACATTATGAAATTGATCGATCAGAGGTGCTAAGAGCATCTTTGGATGGTATGGTACGGTTTTTTCTTCGAGGATCATTAGACAATCCTTAGTATGAAGCTTAACGCCATAAGACATTTTTCATTAGCTTAACGATAATTATTGTAAACACACAACATTAGAAAAATGTAAAAATTAAAGTTGAGGTTGAGGAGAGTCAACATTTTTCTTTAGTCGAAATATATCTGTCACCTTTAGCACATATTATTAAACAGTTTTTTGGCTCGGGGACAACAATGGTCTTCTAGTCTTCTGTATATGTTTTTGATAATTCCTTAATTTTTTTATGGGTAGGTAGATTGTAGATTGGAATAAGGAGTCGTTACAGCTCGATCTAGCCGCCCACGCACTGCTACCTTTCCAAATATATTGTGCCTGACTTTTTTTGCCTGTCTCGGAGTCGGAATGCATGTCCAATGAGCTAGAATTTGGTCCTTTTCTTATCTTTTCAGTTCTTCGAAGGCGTTGCTTTTCATTAGTCCATGAAAAGGCCCTGAGGCCTTGACAATCCAATCTACAATCTACAATGGGTAGGTAACTCTGGTCATAAACTGTAGCTGGTTGACCCGTAGCTATATAATTTAATTTAAATGTACCATTAGGATCCTAACATAACATTCTTTGGTATTTCTTTACACTTTAGTTTCAGGTCCCACAGAATGCTGAACTCCAGGAAAAGAGTTTTTGATATTCGCCAAGAAAAGTGCTTGTAAATGCCCAAAGTGCTTTTTATACCATTTAGGCGACCTGCCCATGGTGTCGATTCTAGACAAATGATGAACTTTCGACTTTCCAGAACCACATGGTTCTATGAGATATCGCGAGGCTAATACTAAACCTCTGGACGAATTGGGCATTTGCAATGCATCTGGATGTTCTACTGATGTTTCAACGAGGGTGCAAACGTCTTTACTTTTGGTAATATCGGTAGCCCAAGTACGTACTACGCAGTATTCTTCAGCCGGTCGAAATGAAGCTGTGCCCCGAACAAACTGGAACACTTCACTCATTGAATCAAGATTCTTTACGATTTTTGACGAACGCAATTCAGGGTCCCAAATATGCCTATCACGCAGTATTCTGTGTAAGACTTCAGTAGGTGGAGCCTCTATTTCAGCGGTCACCTTATAAAGCTGCAAATGAATACCATCTTCTACGAGTTTGGAGGCTATTTGAACACCTTCAAAGTGGCTTGCAATATTAATCCAGCCTCGAGGTCTTTCTTTGACCTCTTTAAGCAAAAAAGATTGGCTTTCACTTAAGTAATTCTTCCAGCCTCCCTTATCTAAACCTAAATCCTGCAATAATATTGCTTTGTTGTCTGTCGTTGAAGCTGAGCCACTTTGGTGCATAAAATCTTGGCTTATCTGAAAAAAAAAAAAAAAGATTTGTAAGTAGGTATACACTATGACCATCAAAGTCCGCATCACATAGTTTAGGCCAGTTTAGAGATCACAGTTTTTGCTTCGAAGATAATGCAAAATGACGCTGTCATTTTTTTTTTACAACCTGTTTTTTTCGAAAAATGGTGAAAAAAATCGTTTCTTTTCCGAGATTTCTACCTACGTACCAATTTTGGACGGCTTTGAATAACATTGATTTTTTCACGTTTTTTGGAAATTGTAGCAAGTTTATATCTGATGAATTTAATGAATCCTGATTTAAACCATTTAGATAAAAACAGACATCAGCTCAAAAGAAAAATTCCAAATGGGTACCTACCCATGTTAAAAAGATTATACCATATTTGATGCTCTAGTTTCAAATCAAAATTCACTCTATATATTTTTATTGCACTACAAAAGGGCATATTAGTCCTACAAGAATGCCATAAACCAAACTTCTCAAATCCGTTTGCCACTTACAGAAGCCAGTTCTTCGTAAATTATTTTAAATTATAACGGGTTAATTCAAGGTTTTCCAAATTTGTACAGTTCTGGTAGGTGAGCAGAGGACTCAAAAAGAAACCACACTTTCATTCAACATTTTCTTAGATTTTGAGAAATAGCCCAATTTTCTATATATTTTTTAAAAAATAGTTATGTCAAATTTAACAAGTACCTACATTGTCAACGTAATTGTGCACTATTTTCGAAGCAAAAACTGTCCGGAAACTCTAAATTTGCCAATACACATGATGAGGTTTAGAAAAAAATTGAATTTTTTTTTGATCATCCAAGAATTAAAAATGCAAGGCAGAAGGAACCTGTGTCTATTTTGCTGGAAAATTTGATCGGATCGTGAAAAAGATAGGTAACCTTTGACTTATTTCTATTCCTTTCACATAAGAAATATTTTATTGGTGTAAAAATTCGCATCTTGAGAACGTTGGAATAATTGCAAAAATATTGCAAATCCAAAATAAATATTTTCGGTCACTCTTCGTAATACAACTGTTCAAAAATAAGTAGGTATATCTGAATTTCTTTCAAAAATAATTGCAGAATAATAGGTGCGGTTACATCTATAATAAATTTAGAATGACTTAATGACTATCGAAAAGATCGCGAGTCAAAACTCAAAACATTTTAATAAAATTTGTATTTTATGTCCAGCCCATCATGATGATGAGTATCTTTTGATGTATGACTCCGAACAGCATAAAAAAAATACTTGAAAGAGCGCGCCAAAGTAAGAAAATCTAATTATCTTTTTCTGATTGCGGATTTGATAGTTTCATCTTAATAGCAACAGTTTCACTAACCTTTCCATAAAAAGTTAACGAGGAACCATTTATAATGATTTGGCTATAAAGAATAGACAGGGACAAGAACAATAGGGTTCAATTGGCCCCAATAAACATGACAACCTATATGCTAAGCCAAGCCGATTTATACTGCGTGATGTCCTACTGTGTATTTTATCGATTAATTACACTGTGAGACGTAAAAAAAATGTTTAGTCGAATGTAACATCCTGTAACGGTGTTATGAATTTTTAAATGCCCTTTCACTACGACCGTTACATCATTATATATCGTTTATAATTGCATTATGGTGTTGCCGTTGATGGATGTCATAAAACAATTATTTACCATTTGAAAAAAAAAAGAATACGCGTTTTTCTTAACCAACTAGAATGAACAAGCTGAGACATCAAGTCATAATTAGAAGGCATGATCGTCGATTTCTTTTTCATCAAAAAGTCTAGAAATAGATTTACCACTTATGGGATGTTGCACAAAAATTTTACCTCAAAACTAGCGCCTGGATTTTCGGGTCCTTAAACAATCTCTAAATTCGCCATGGACATAATATGAGATGACCGAGTCCAAAACAGATGCAAAGTAGGTATTTGAAATACCCAGGACCTAATGACTCATTCTCTCCAAATATCGATTTAGAGAAGAAAAAAATTCAGCTTAACAGTTTAACAAAAGAAAAGGTAGAAAAAGTTATGGCAAATGAAAGCGTTTGGGTTTTTTTGGTTTGGGATTTGCCATAATTGATAATTTTCCTGACGGGGTTAATAATTTTATAAGTTGATGAATGAAGACCCAAGGCTGAAAGAACAGGAACGGCTTGCAGCACTTTTACAACAAGAAGATCGAAGAGAGAAAGAAAAACAAAAAGAACAGGACCAGCTTCAGGAAATTTTTCCATTTCAGCTGGAATAAATGCAAACTGTAATTTCTGAGGAACAAATACCTAGAAGCGCAAGATAAAAAATTAAAGATTGCAATGGACAAAGTACGTGGAGAAGTTGTGTGTTTACCAAGAAGTTGAAAGTGTTCATCAGGAAGCTGGAACTGTTCGTCAGGAAGTTGGAAATTTCATTTCAGAATAAAATCCAAAAGATGGAATTTGACTTGAGATCAGGAAATATCTCCTCCTCACCTGCCACCGGTATTAAAGTAAAGCCACCACCTTACGATGGACAGACATCGTGGGTCATGTACAGACTTCAATTTGAGACTGTTGCAAGCAATAGCAATAAGATGGCTAGAGAAGTTGCAGCAGTACAATTTTCAGATCAAACACCATTCTGCTAAACTACATAATCGTGGCGACCATGCCCAGCTTAATGAAAGCACTGCCTCAGAATAGACTAGCGTGAAGGAGTTCCTATATCGAGAATGGAGTTCCGATCAGTTTAGACATAAGACAGTGACATCAAGACATTTTGAATATAAAGGAATCCGGAAAATCCAGACCAACCTGGCAAGAAATATCACTTATAAGCTTAACTAAGGCGCTGTGGGTCAATGAGACTCCCTGCTACGGACGTGGGAGAGTACAGTAATGGTAAAATCATCAAACTGCAATTTGTCGTGCCGCGGATAAAAGTTGTTCGAGTTTTAAAAGAAGTTCACAATGGGACATCCGGAGGTCACTTGGAAGTCAACAAGATCTTGAACCAGATCCGTGACAGATTCTATTGGGTGAACTATTACCAGGATGTCGGATTTTAGTGGCATGCAACGCAGATGAGCATATACCTATATTTCTGATGGCATACAGGTCAGCCGTACATAACACAACAGAACTGATAGCTGCCAAAATTTAGTTTGGAAGGGAGCTTCGTTTGCCTTTTCACTTGGTGTTCGGGTCACCAGATGTCGCCGACATGGAAGCCGAAGAATTATGCTGACGGTCTGCGAAAAAGGCTGCTTGATATCCATGATATAGTTAGGAAAAGGACAGAGTTCGCAAGTGATGAAATGAAAACGCGAAGATATGATCTCAAGGTGAACTCTAGAGATTTCCCAGCGAATGACAAAGTTTGGCTCTATAATCCTCAAAGGAAGAAAAGTAGATATTCCAAGCTAACAATACCCTTATGGAAAACCAAGGCGGCCCCAAAGGTAAAATGAAGGTGGTACATCTTGACATGTTGAAGGCTTTTCACAAGAATAAATGGTCAGATCGCGACGATCTGATTAAGAAGGGAGGCATTGTGACGAAAATGCATCGATAAACCGGCCGGATTCTAAGAAATTAGGAACTTGTTTACGCCATGGAGCGCCCCTATTTTGGAAATTCTATTATATTTGATTCGATGTTCTTCTAGAGTGCGATTCCGAGTATAAATAGATAGCACGGAGCAATACGTTTAGTATTTAGTTTCAATTCGAGATTTGTCGTGTACGTTTCGATAAGTTAATTTTATACAAAATCAATTAGTTTCATAAAAGTTGTTACTGTTTGTGAAATGAGTTTTAGTGAACCCGGAATCCGTGAAAATAGTTTGTGTTTATTCCACATTAGTTAGTTCCTTGTGAAACATGATGATTATCAGTGTTTCGAATATTCGAAACATAAAAGCGAATTTTATTGCAAAACGTACCTTACTACCTAGTCTTAGTTTCAGAGAATAGCAAAAATTGCAATTAAAAAAAAAATTGATAAACGATATTCAAAATTAATTAAAAATAGCAAAAACTTCAAGTATTTCATAGGAAATTAATCCAAACATTCTTACCTTAAACAAATCGTTGGCGTTGTTCAATAAGTATTGCAAACATCCGTTGCCGGCGTCATTGTCTGCCAACTCCTTCACAGGCATCGTACTAGTATTTTGTTTGGAAGCTTGGAAAGTATGAAATAGAGATGGTGTAAAACACATCGCCAAATTGCTTTCGTTCATTTGATTCACGGAATTTTTTGCAATCGAAACCAGGAAATGGAGAAGAATTTGTAAAGCTTCCAGGTGTTCGTTAGGCATTAAAATGAGAGCACAGAGAACGGGTTCGGATCGAAGATCCTCCGGAACATCTAGAAATAAGAGATGGTTTTAATAACTTCTATAAGTATGAAATCCATTATCGGGATCGAACATTTTCCTAGCTTTTTATGTGTTGTTTTTCATACCTATTTACTTCCAATATTTGTCTACTTTTCAAGCACAGATTAATAGCACATTTTCTCACTAGGAATGATTTTAAATTGCTTATTTATTTATAGGATATAACGAGGTCGGATCTTACCCCATGATTGGCAATTTCAATTATTTATTTTTTTTATGTAGAAAAAATATTTAAATTAAATTTTTATTATGGTGCTTTTTTTATGTATTCTCTGGTTACAGAGGCAGTCAAGTGGGCATTTATAAGGCATGCAGTTGATATGTGATCCAGTTATCCATGAAGTTCTAGATGCAGGAAAAGAGACTTTTTTTCTTGCCTCCACTTATGATTGAATTCGCGAGAGTCAAGTTTGCGAAGGAATTTGAGAAAAAATGAGCAGTAAGGAAAAAGTAGCAAAACATGGAGGACATTCTCAAACAAACATTTAATTCAGATCATGAGTTGCAACATATAATATCAGCATCATAAATAAAAGAGGCTTGGGTTTAACAGCTAAGAAGCAAAGAAACCTTCCGCTTGATGGAATCGAACATCGGTCCCGACTCCGTGAACTGACAGGAAATGATCAATTATCCCAAATTTAATAAGTATTAGATAATCAGTTTAAGTAGTACAGAAGCCACTTTTGTTGTTTAAGAATTGCAAAAGCTGCGTCTGCTGGACGAGATAGAGACACGACCACTGTTTGCTTGGTGAACGCAGTGGGTTACTATGAATAAACATCGCATCAGGCCAAATGACAATACTTACTTCGGGGCAGCACCTACACCCGATGCAATTAATGGTCTCAGAAAACAGGGCGTTCAACCATTTGATCCGTTTGTCTTCGACGAAAATGATTTTGTACTCGCCAAAACAATAGCCTTTTGAAAGACCAAATTCAGTACCTACTTGATGGATTGGACAATGATATTCCGCTAACAGGTTAAGAATTCGAAAATGGAATTACGAAAGATGCTGTTGCAAACATTTTAGCACCATAAGCCCTAACTGAGAATACGCCTGCGCGCCCAGAAAAATTCACGGAAGTAGAAAAGTACTTATTTGACACCTCAACTCATCACGATGAGCCGGTGCCTGGTCCAAGCCGTATTACGAATGAATGGAAGTTATGATGAAATCGTCAAATCAGAATGAGCCAGTTCCTTTGCCAAGCTGAATAGGAGAAAGTTTGGATGAAAATTTGCTGCAAAAGAGAAGAGCTGAAAGAGGACGAACTACTAAAGCAAGTATAGCAACGACTCCCATAGTTGAAAACAATCATGAACAAAAAAGACTAAATGAAGAAATCAAAAAACGGAAAGAACAGAAAAACATCAACAATCAACTCACATAATAAAATAACGATAAAGAAGATTCAGCAGCTCCACTACCCTGGAGGTACGAGGTATAAGCAGACCTCTCATTGAAGACTGAATTTGAGTATTGCGAATAATTGTCAGCACTAGTGGTAAGAATGCACGAACTGAATGGAACTGCTTTGTATGTGATTTCTGGTAATAAATCTTCACTTACCCCAATATGTTAGTCATCTTAGTCGGCTAATGGGGTAAGGTGTCGATTTTTGAATGAACTCGAAGCATTATTATTTCTTTGTTATGGATAATGGTTCAACTTTGACCAAGCGTGTTTTTCTCAGCCAATTGACACAAGAAAAAAAATCATATGGTGGATATGAAAGGTATTCAAGGTCGTCAACTAACATCTTTTTTCCCTAAGCCTGGCTTCACTAAGGGCCATATTCGGCTTCATTGTTTTTAAGAGAGCATGAACAAGTTGTCGCTAGTAGTGCAAAGCCAAGTCCCTAATTTTGTGTGTGTTTTATTAAACTGGTAAAGTATGAAAATTTTATCCCCATTTAAAATGAAAACAATTTGTGATATAGGAAACTGATAAGTTTGAAATATATACGCCCACCTCCAACAGCTAGACAAAAATAGCTGCTGCATAAATAATCAATAAGCAATAAAAAACAGAAACAAGTGGCACGCCAGTTTCACTTTTAAAGTGCTTTTCTCAGTGTGCACTATGTCAAGTGAACTTTCCGAAGCCTGTAAAATAGTCGCTAAACTTTTAGTAAAAAAAAAAGATAAAAGAAATACAGAAAAAGAAACGCAACCAACGAAATCGCCGTTTCTGGGTTGAACCATGGATTGGTCGTCGACCCACTTTGGCTGCTTCTGCAAAACTTCTAGGAGAACTCGCAGCAACGGAAATGAAAATCAAAAAATGAAAAACTGGCGAGCGGACGCTGGCGTGTAAGCACTTGTTTACACTTGCAAGATTTGATTTTCTGTAAGAATTTGTCACCACTGGCGCCAGTAATTTCAGAAGGATGCAGACTTTTTTGGACTATGCATGCAAATATAAAATGTGTATGCAAGTCCATGTTTACACTTGCTAATAAAATTTACTGGCGCGCCAGTTTTTATTGGCGCTACTAAATCCATGCATGTGTAAACTCACCTTAAAGCAAATATGAATCTTTCATTATTATTTTGCACCTCCATGTAGGAGAGTTGGTTGACACAATACAACAAAAAAAAATTTGCAGTAGGCATTTCAAAAAGGCATGAGGTAGATAATAAACCACATTGGTTCTCGCTTATAGGAGGTTTGCAAGTGTAACTGGAAAACGCAACGACGAGAGTCAATGCTGATTCTCATTTCTGCTTATGAGGAATGTAGCACTATGTTTCTCCGGGAAATGTTAAAGCCATTTCAAAATATTTATTGAGTAAGTATTCTAAAATAAACTTAATAACCAAAAAAAATGCCTTATCTAGATTGCCAGTAACGTCTGTTAAACACTCTAATCCAAAAGAAAACAAATAGCGAAATCAGTAATAACGGTTTTAATCCGACATAAACACAAACAACGAGGTTCTCAATAACTCAAAGTAAAATCTGCAATAATAAAGTTGTTGCAACATTTCAATTGGGCCCCGAAAATAAACTGAAACTGCCAGACTGGGATCTCTAGTTATTTCAAATTCGTTTACTCAACCACTCGAGATACACCGACTGAAAGAATTAATACTTTGAAGAGTTTTTGCTTACGTCAATTATTGGTGGCTGAACACGTTCTGAACCTACGTCAAGATAAGCGCTCGTTACTCAAATGCAATGCAAAATTTAGACAATGTATGGATTTAAAAAAATAGATATAAAATTACAGCTCAACCACTTGCAAATTGTGTGTTCAAGCAAGTCTTTGAAAAACGACTGGTGAAGTATCTCCTCGAGTATCTCCGGTTATTACTAAGCAACTTCTGGAGCAATTATTCCTTATTAGCTTATATATAATTTCAAACAAAATTTCCAGTTTTATTCATGTCTTCCTGGAGTTCACGGTTGCAGACTCGCTACTCACTTGAATATAAATTTAAACCACTGTTGTTCTTTGTCTAATGTTCTGGAGTACATTGGATGTTGTGTTTTGTACCGCTTCTGCCATATATTCTGTCAAAAAAATCGCACCAGCAGATAAAGAATGAAAAAAATGCAACAGAAATTATGAATAAGGAAACTAACAACAAAATAGAAGGGAAGAAAATCACTGCCCTTCAACCCAAGATCTTATGTGCACAATCAAAAGAAAGATTCACGTACCTCAGCCTATGGCAATATCAGAACTACATGAAGAAAAACTTGAGAACCAAGCCCCACCAAGCTATCAAAAATCCACAAAGACCATTCCGTCCAATCACCAACTCAAGAGATTCACCAATGTGCGACCTAGCGAAATTATTTCTCCTTTCCATTATCAAACCCCTGCAAACAGACAACAAACCTTGATCCATACCACCGCTTTGCCAGTCGCGATGTGGAAAACTTAAACATAAACGTGCCCATAAGAGAAGTTTTAAACATCATAAAACAAAAAATTGAGACAGAAACTAACTCAATAATATAGGAAGGTAATTATTATTGTACTTACATTGAAAAATCGAAATAAAAGTCTCTGCCAGTTTGTTCGTCAACAAACTTTCAGGGAGATCCCTAAAATACTGTTTGACCATGTCAGCAACATCGTAGGATTGCTGCTCAGAATAATCTACAGAGGTTTTACTTTCCACTAGATCCCTCACAGCCTGAATCCTCGATTTCACTCCGGGTTTCCGAAAAATACCCACATGGTCACTCGCATTTATTATCAGCCATTTTAAAGCCTCTTCGATATTTTCTGGCAATACTCGGCCAGTTTTCTGTTGAATCATTGTGAGCGGTACGCCGAATACTTTTTTAGCTGAAAATAATAATAGTTTCGCGTTACTAAAATTGAAATTGCACTATCAATAAAATAACCGTTACCTCTATATCCAGGGGTCTTTATTTTCCTGATAAATTTTGGTATCTCCCAATTCCAGCCCGTTCTATGGGTTGGACAATATTTTTCCATATACGAGGTAAGTTTCAGTAAGGCAAGTTTACGCAGTATCCTGAATTGAGTTGCTGATACTCTGTGAAATGGTATATATTCTTCTCCTTGACCTATACCTTGTGCTCTGGTATGTCTTTGTCTAGAAGTAGCTTCGGCTTGACTTTCCCATACAACACTATAAAATAAAAATTAAAAAATTCCAATTGAAATTATGCGACAATTGTGAACAAAAATTATTAAATAAGTTGTAAAAGAATTCAAGACACCTATACCATTGGATTCCTCGATTCGAAAGCAAAATTGGACATTATAAATTCAAAGAATATGCTCCCTAAGTAATTTCAGGCACATCACTCTAGAAATATTCCAAGCATATTTGAATGATATCCGCGCAATGAATGTAACTAGAAGGTATGGAAAAATTGCTAGCTAGTACTAGACTTAGGGCACTTTTCAGAATAACTGAAAGTTAACTTCTTCAATGACGCTACTTCTCATAGCAATTCCAGAGGTTAACTTTCAGTTATCTCTCAAAATAGTTTTATAATACCTCCGCCCTTAGATCATTATAGATAACGACATAATCATTGGGACGCCACCGTTGTACTAGCCCTTTTTTTGCAAATGCGAAGTATAGTTTCTCTTCTTATTTCGCAGATAGCTCGGTTTTAAAGCAAATTTCTCATCGCTAGCCTTATGAAGTAAATCTTTAGAGCTTTATATAATTTCGATATTTGCTAATGAATATCGAGGTGGAACTTCCGAATCATAAATTGGATTTAAGGCCCAAGGCCAAGATGTTGATTTGCAGCCACGGGCTAGACACTAGGAAGAAGAAGAAGAAGGAGAACCCAGAAAAACCGAATGTAGGGGCTGGCATTGGAAGCGTGAAGAAGAAGAAAGTTTAATTCGACTACGCCTAACTTTTGAGAAGGAGCACAAAGATCTTTCCCAAAACCTCAGTCGATTATAGGCGAGGTCTTTGAATAAAGAAAAGTGGCCGTACTCTGCGTAACAGCGCCGGATCAATAAGCGGACGTGAGTTTCAATGACGCAGAAGTTCCCAGGTGACAGAGAAGAGAAAGAATGCGCTGGATGTCGCTTTTTTTTGGCGGATAATCAAGCAAATAATGGAGCTTAGACGTCAGAGTCGAGAGCAAGTTCAGAGCCTCAGAAATGCATCAGATGTCAGGCATTTGGAGACATTCAATTCACTGAGTAGTAGGCAGGGAATCACCGATCTAGTTCCTGCCTACTGCTGTACGCAATTAAAGAAGTTCGCAATACTACTTGCGTTAATTTTGAACAGGCAGAACACCCTACAAGCTAAAAAATACATCATGGCAGAGATGCTAATAGGAAGGCCATCTACTCCATTGGAAACTCATCAAACAATATCAAGAAGGTGTCAAAGGAGTTTGAGGTTCCCACCGCCGTCCAAGCACTGAACACCAACACTAAACTTGTGGTGGCCTGCGATCAGCAGTAAGTAAAAGGGCAACCTCGTGTAAAAAACAATATGACAATATTCCCCTGGAACAACGCTGAACCTACATCAAATTTTTCTAACTTTTTCAGACGTTATCTACACGGAACTCCGAGCTCGCGGATTAGGAGCAGCACATCTACTAGCAGAAAACAACCAATAATTTTAGAGTGAGAGCGTTGATTATTTTTAAAAAAGTCCACCATCTATAAAAAAAATCCACACTGCTACTTCTAGTTATTAACGCTGATGAGAGCTGAGTCAATTTTAAATCAGATTCAACACCAACCAACTGTTTTTGTATTCACATTTTCAGATGAGAACTGGTTGACGTCATGGGAGACGCAGTCAGGAGATTTTATCAATTTATAAAAGAAGCGATTTAAAGCATAACCACCCTTCCTACAGCTGTCACATTTGAACATTTTTGTCTTGACGGAAACTGAAAGTTTTTCTACAAAAATTACGTATAAGTTATTGATTCATTTATTATTTAATAATAATATTACTTAATTATTTCTTGGATTAAGATGAGCAAATGAAAATGATCTCTCATTTTCACTCCTGACTGTACCCCAAAATTTGTCTTCTAACTCAGAATTCGAACTGATCATCAAGCTTTATCTCGACCTATTCCAATCAAGACGTAGAATTTGATTTGAAATTGCCCACCACCCACATAAGTCGGAAGCATCAATTAATGAAATATCAACGAGAATTTAGGAAATTCCCTTTCTTCGTACTTTGTCTGTACCTTTCTTCCGCATAGCTGACTAACTCGATTTTCAGTTTGATAGTTTGGTGGCTTCCATGGAACGTACTTTTAATATACATTTTACGAACCATTAACGTAGGAAGGTCTAATAAGAAAATTATCTAAATAAAAAGCGTAGTTTGAACCGTTAACAAAACATATTCCGAATATACTTATTTTGTTTCATTTTCACAACCTATTAGGTCTAATATGAATATTTCCATTTCCTATATGTAAAGATTGTAAATTTGAAAAACGTCTGTTTAATGTAAGGTTTTGAGAGTATGAAATCAGCATGTGTAGTTCAGAACATGCATAGAACCTTGAATTTAGGTTCCCTTTTAAAAAAAATGCAAAGCACGTGAGCCGAATATTATTTAGGATATGGCTATCACCTCTAAATTATGTGTTTTAGTGTGGACAGTGGGTACGTAATATTTACTTCCCATTATATGCGCAAAGGAAAAAGAGAACGTCCATAGTGATGCTTATGGAATACAATGATAGTATATCATCATTAATTATAGATACATTATATGTTTTTAGAAATTCGAAAAACTTCAAAACGGCTGGATTTTTAGTATTCCCGAATGGATACTTTACCTGAGCTCTGACAATATATTGAGCAGTGCAGAAATTCCCAATCGATTTACAACCGATTCACAAGCTGTAGAAAACTCCAATCAGTTTGGAGTTCTGTTCGACGGAAAGACCTATTATTTTGTTGAACTCCAATATGGGCGGATTTACGGATTAAGAATCAAACAAAAGCTTGATATATAATTCAGACAAAGAAGATGTTCAGAATTTTGTGTATTCTTGAAAATATTTGTCTTGAAAATCTGATTTAACAAAAACCAGGTGTTGAAAGTGGAGAAACTCCACTTTGAGACACCTTGGATTTAATTATCAGATTGATTATGTAGGTACGCAGTATGATTAGGTAATAAATATTTTTCTATTTAAATACATACATTCACTGTATTTTTTTTTTAAATAAAGCAAAGAAACACTTACTCATCAAGCTCAGTTGGTATACGAGTCCACGTTTCAGTCTTTTCCGAGGTCTTGTCAAAACTTTTTGTTCTAACTTTACGTTGATGCTTTGGAGTTGCCTCTGCATCCGATTGTTGAATTAACTCCAGCCTCTTCAGGCTGCCCACTGAAACGGCATCGGAAGTTTCTTTTTCGAAAAACATTCCATCCCTACGCCTTCTTGATTTGTTAAAACCCGACCTTCTCAACGCAGGCGACTGCGGGGATTTTTCAAAAACGTCATCTTTATCATCAAATCGTTTGTTGATTTCTGCGAGGTTAGCTAAAATGCATTTAAACTTGTGAAAGCACAACATTTCCAGAGAAAGTTTTCTTCACTTACGAATTGGTTCTAGCTCACAAGTCCTAGACCACCTGCCTTTATCACTCTGATAGGTCCAGTTTTGACTCAGAGCACATTCTTCTTCAGCTTCCGATTCGTCCGTATTTGTAGAACGTTGCTGATTCAAATGTGCGCAGCCATTTAAAATTCTTATTCTACGATACAGCGAAAGCAGAACATCGTTTTCTAGGCGGGGATGGTCGGTTGCTGCCTGGGATAAGGCGATTGGAAATTGCATATCTGGAAGAAATTTAATTTTTCCCATGTTTTAATTTTTGTTAGAATGATAGATTAAGAGGCTTATAAGTTATGAAACACAAAAAGGAGAAAGATTTCAATCTAAAACATATTGCCTTTAATAGCACGACGAAATTTGACCCAGATTTTTCGGCTGAGTGATTTTTAAATTAAGGGGTAGAAAATGAAAAAAATAGTAGAAAAATCGTTTTTACCTTCGTACATCTGTGCATATTGCGGGAATCCGGTTGCGCGTAGCCATTTGCACGCTTCAGCTGCCTCGATTTCTGAAACAAACAAATGCGGAGGTTAAATGAAAGTATTATCAAAGTTTATTTGTGATTTCATTTTAACCTAAAGCTTTGGAAACACAAAACGGGTGAAATTATTTGTAGTAATGCAAGTCAGCTTTCAGTTTTTGTTTTGGAATCAATATAGGGTAGGCTACTTTAACATATCTATATATTTTCACGTTTCAACCTGGAGTATGTTTTTTGTAGTTATTTTTTGTTTGTAACATTGTAAAAATTTGTTTTTTCTTTCATTGTTGAGTGAGAAGCTTAAATAGTCTGTCCGTAGTCGGTAAAGGTAGCGCACAAGGTTCCAAAACATCCGGCTTAATTTTAAATTAAAAAAATTAGTATGTAGGTTTACATATTTCATCAAATTTTATCACTTTCGCTTCAGTTCTGGTCCAATAATGGCAATAGACGTCAGTATTAATAATTGTCATCTTTATCTGGTGGACGAAATTTGATCCAATTGATTTGTAATCATGAAATGCCACTGTTTTTTTAGAAAAGGGTAAATAGCTACAGTTTTTTACGCCTGACCATTTTCCTGGTACAATGGCCTATGACTGAATACTAAGGTCGACCAAAAAGTTCGACCATCATCTTCGGAAGTATCTACACAACATGTTATAAGTTCTCGTTTAACAGCGCCATTTGATAATGACGGCATGAGATGAGGTATGAAACTAAAATAATATTCGAACCTGTGCATACTGAAATGGGGAATGATGATGATGATGGATACATGTCTACATTTGTCACAGATGATGATTTTTTTAATGCTTTCGTTGATTATTTGCTTAAGTATTTGGCTACAAGTATACGGTTGCCGCCTACGATATTTGATCAGATGCTAGTAGAACATCAGGCTCATTTTTGCAGAAACCAACTAGGATGGAATTCTATTGTGAATTTTTATTGTGCGTTCGTGAGGTTTCTCAAAGCAACTACTGAAAGTAACTCCGCAACGGTCTCACCAATCAAGGGATGTACTGTCCCCACTGCTGTGGTCACTGGTAGTACCTAGATGAACTTCTCAATACGCTAAGCGCCCAATGGATTACCTAGGGGTCCTACGATATGCTAACAAGAGTAACCGACCGGACAAGAGCCATATACCATATAATGGACTTGCCGGAGATTATTTAGCAAGACTTGGGATCTAAATCCAAAAATGATCTACTGGTTATTTATGTATGGTGGCCAAAAGTATAATAACAGACATCGCAAAACTGATTGGCAACTGTACAAAGGTATGCATGTCTTGGAGTTATAGGAGCAACGAACACCTGTCCAATCGCCGCAATGGCAGTCATGTGAGACCTCCTCTCACTAGATATAATAGTGACGCAAGAGGCCTACATGAGCGCTTCGGGAATATAACTGTCCCCTTAAACTAAAGGAAGGGTACTTTATCGGCCACATGAGCTATATGAAAGAATGCGTAAATGTGACCACACAACCAGATGACCACATGCAACAAAGCCACGAATTCGAGCCCTCATTCAAAGTGACTATTAAGGGCCGCAAGGGAGAAAATATTTTCATACCTGTATTTCCGAACGGGTCATCTGTATACAGACGGATCGAAAACAGAGCAAGGGACTGGAGCAGGGGTATACTGCCTACTTTGTAGACTATCAACAGCCCTAGGAGAAAGCACAACCATATTTGAAGCGGAAATATTCGCAATAGAAGCTGAAGACCTGCAAAGAGCGCAGATCTATATCAATTCCGATAGTCAAGCAGCACTAGGAGCTCTGACTAGCTCTGTCACTAAGTCCAGACTGATATGGGACTGCCAACAACTCCTAAAGCAACTGGCGTCGCAATAGAGTTCCTCTGTCATGGACACCAAAACACCAAGGTGTCGACGGAAATGAAATGGCGGACCCGATTGCAGGACCTTTCTTTGGCTTAACCAGAAGCCATATAATAGGGGAAGTCTAGAATTGGGTAAAGGCTCAACAAGCCTTCCTGGAACACGTTTCCAGGACTTTGACAGACGAAACAATTCATCTCGCCCCACTTGATAAAGGCAAAGGAAATACTTGACCTTAGTGAAGCGAATCTAAGGCTGCTAACAGACCTCCTTACGGAACACTGCCCTCAAGGATACCACCTGAAAATGATGGACAGAACAGAATCACTCCTATGCCGCTCCTGTGTCTGCAAAATATACTTTGCAGCTGCGAGGCATTGTGCCGCAGAAGCCTTATCTACCTGGAGCAGCTCTATTTAACTGCGGATGTGAAAAAAGCCAATCCCAGGGACATTATCGGCTTCGCCAAAAGCCTTAATCTGGGAACCTACTGGATATAAGAGAATGCACAATAGATCGAATCAGATTGCAGTGCGGAGAGGTCCATAACCTAAACACCTCAACCATCGCAATCTATAATCTACAAGGTTTTTAGTAGGTATTATTCTTTCATGAATGTACTATTGCTCAAATAGGGCACAGAGAAACTACATTCAGCTTACAAAATGCCTTACTGAAAGAGCTATCTGAAAAATGGAATCGCATTACAACTATTCACAAAAATCGAAGTAAAGACGACTGCGATACCTTTCAAGGAAAAAATTGTGGTCGTGTGCACCGTTTCGAGAGCTTATGGGAAACCTGTAAAGCAGAGGATTGGGGAGGAGTACCGAGATATGCATCTCTTCTACTCAGATCCTGAAAAATGTACGACATTGTATTTCATCTGAAACTTTAAGAGGTTCTCGAAAAAACCAATATCAGCGTAACGTTAATCAAGGCTGTCGAAAAGCTCTATAGGAAAAACGAAGAGCAAAATAAATAAAAGACTACAAGTATCCAGAATACCAAAAAATGATCTCATATTGCACGGACTATGCTTCTCTAACGATAAAATAGTTTTGGGCCAAGATTATAAAGATTTAGAATACATGACCCGTAAGCTAATATAGAAGAATATGTACCATAAGTGGGGGCTGGAAGTAGACATTGAAAAAAAAAACGGAAGACATGTTTATTGGTAGAGAACAATAAAACTTAGTCCTGGAGCAAGAACAACGAGAAATAAACCACTGTGAAAAATACAAATATCCTCATGCACATAAATAAATAAGGCTGGTTGCCTAGGACAATTGAAGAGATAATTGAGTATGGACACGTTAAAAAAATGGACGAAAACAGAATAGCAAAGACAGTACTGAATTAGACAAATTCTGTTTTATAAGAGGACTTGTTATCATTCCAGCAGAAAGCTGCTCAGCGTCATTACTTTCGTCTTGTCCGACAATGGTTGAACAAGAGGTTCCCGGATAGATGGATTGGCATTAGAGACCAATTGAGTGGCCTCCAAGATCACCGAATTCAACTTGTTTTGGCTTTTTTGTTTGGGGATATCTTAAATCCATTGTTTATTAAACACAATCTGCTGATATTGATGATCTTAAAAGGCGAATTACAGCAGCATCCCGGACAATTCCCGTTTTTTTCGAGAGAACTTCCAAAACACACTTTATTACTGTTTACAGGAAAATGGACAACATTTTGAACATTTATTAAGATAGTGCGTACGCTATTTTCGTAGAAGTGAAGAAGATAACCAATCAATAAGAAATCTTTTATAAAATGCAAAAATGCAACTATTTTTTTAATAAAATAATACCTAGAAACGATTATTTGAAGCATTAAAAACCCTTCCAAAAGAGAGGCCACTTGACCTATAGTAGATTTTGAAGTGGGGGAGGGGGGTAGTGGAGCCCATGATCATGAGAAAAACATCAAAACTCCCCCCCCCCCCCGCAAAATCAATTGACGAGTTTTTGCGTTTTTCATAAAAAAATGAACAGACGAACAGAGATTTTCAGGGTGGAAAGTTTTCAAAGTGTCGCCCTGTCTAATAATAGCAAAGAGCTATCGAACGATGTGCAACACAAGGTAGGTTCGTATTCAAGAAAAAAAGAGTTAGGGTAGCTACCCCATAAGGGGTGAGGCGGGGTGACTCAAAAAGTGCCTCATTTTGGTTCCCCTTCCAATCCCCGATACGTATTTGAGATCTTCATGATGGTATTTTTTGTCTAAGAAATATTCCCGAATGCTACTTTTCAAATTGTCACCCTAGTACCTATATAATTATTATATTCTGATTGTAACCTTCATACATCCAAGTTCTATAAAAATCCACAAGCCAAATGTGTTATCGAACACGCCATTACTTTAATTAGCAAGTATAGAATTCGAAACAATTATATTTCCTTGAAAGCCAACTAAAAGCAAACAAAATAATTGCCTCCGATAAGAGTCAACAAAATTAAGAAAAAGCACGTTTTTCAAATAAAATTTATCCATGGCTAAAAAAGATAAAATCGAATTGATTTCTGATGACGGAATAATATTATGTTTACCAAGATATTGAAACTCTAGAAAAATGGTCCACAAATGTTTTTTGCAAGCTTCACTCAACCCAGACCGGAACTAAAATTGCTAGAGAGGATTTTTGAGCATAAGGGAAAACCGAATCGTGAGCGTAAACATGTGGGCAGTCCAGTTTCATAATTCACGGCAAATAATGTTTTCTTAGTAGAAAAATCAGTATTTGGTATAACGCAATTTTTGTTTTTCTCATATTTTATAATAAAATTTCAATCAAGCTAGGTGAAGAAGGGATCTATAACCTTGAATGTTTGGTTAATGTTTACTCTTGGTTTTTTTATCGAATTCATCCTTAAACTCGATTTCTGTTCTTTTTGGTGTACCTACCCACTCAATTATTATGAAACTGATTTTCCATAGGGTAGATGTGAAAAATATAATAAATTATAAAGCCAAATTTTAAAAGCCCTATAAACATTGCCCTACGCATTTCCTGATTTTTGGGGTAACGAAGATTCACAAGTAGCCGCATCATCAATGTCCATTTAGGAAAGTTTATTTTCTTCTGGAAATCGTTTGGACTATCAGAAACTGAAAATTTATTTTTTACACAGATAAAGAGTTTATCAGTCGAATCAGTGGGCTA